AATTAAAACAATCAAAATATGCTTTTGTTTCCTTTAACGATAACCGAAACCTCCGTAAATACATCATCGATTTTATTGTAAAAATTTCAAATGTCTTTTCAAACAAAGCAACTTCAGAACACTCGGCCACTTTACTCAAATTTATTTACATTGGGTGGGCCACGCCGAAACGTTTCTTTGTAACTACGACGTGAAATAATCAAACTAAAACCAAACCAAAGTCTCCCCACGTGATTAAAAGCAAAAGGCCGCCCGTGAGGAGAACGCAAGACCACAAAAATATTGTTTTCGATATGCAACCGCATTAGCAGTTCTCAGTGAACGGATCGCAACAGTTTTTTTCTAAATAAATATCAAAAAGGAAAAGAAAAGCCTTTTTCCGAATAACCGATTACATATACTGTGCTTTCCAGTTTCCAGGACGTACTAAAAGTGAAATGGGAATTTTGCTACGCGTGTTTTATTTGTAACGAAAAAACAAATCTTTTACTAATAAATGCCGAAAAATATAACTGGCGGAGGGTCTCCTACAAGAAAATCACCTATTACAACACACTCTAAGACAGACATATAGCTTTCATAGCTTGTACACCCCCCGAGGGGGGCACTTGGGTATTTTTTGGGTGGGTATGTGCCGCCCGGGACTCCACATTGGCACCCCGTTCTAAAAAAAAATTCCCCTAAAATTGATACCCCGTTCTAGAATTTGCCCTAAAACTGATACCCCGTTCTAAAAATGGGCCAGTTTTTTATACTCCGTTCTAAGGTGCAAAGAGTACAAGAGTTTGCTTGTTAACGCATTGAACCACATTTTTAAACGCAATCTGACCTTGAATAATTTCAAATGGCTGCTTACAAAACTGGAGCTTTCGTGCATTCGAAATATTATACCCCGTTTTGGAAAACGCCTCTGAAATGGATACCCCATTCTAAATCAGGAGCTTCAAAATCACCACCCCGTTGGGCGGCACATGCCCATATAGGTAATGTATGGGAGTACCCCCCCCCCCGGGTATACCCCTTGGTTTTCCAGTTATTGCGGAAGTGATTTCATAACATCTTGGTGTCTAACTGTTTCTGTTGCATGATAAAACTCGCACTTAGGGGTTTAGAACACAATACTGACAATAACATTAAAATAACACTCGCTTACTCAAGCTAAAACATATTAACCTTTAAATTTTCACTTGGTGCGCAAGTGATTTGATAATACGGTGGTGTCTAACTCACAGAATCACGGGCGCGCCACCTAGTGTTTCTGTTGCTTTATTAAAAATTGCACTTACGAGTTTAGGTCACCATGGCATTACAATAACACTCGCTTACTCAAGCTAAGACATATTAATCTTTAAATTCCCACTTGGTGCGCAAGTGATTTCATCATGCCATGGTGTCTGATTCAGAGAATCACGGGCGAGCCACCTAGTGTTTCTGTTGCTTTAAAAATCGCACTTAGGAGTTTAGATCACCATGGCATTACAATAACACTCGCTTACTCGAGCTAAACATATTAACCTGTAAATTTCCACTTGGTGCGCAAGTGATTTCATAACGCCGTGGTGTCTGATTCACAGAATTACGGGCGTGCCACCTAGTGTTTCTGTTGCTTTAAAAATTGCACTTAGGAGTTTAGATCACCATGGCATTACAATAACTCTCGCTTACTCGAGCTAAAATATATCAGACATATTAACCATTAATTTTCTTCTGTGCGCAAGTGATTTCATAATACCGTGGTGTCTAACTCACAGAATCACGGGCGCGCCACCTAGTGTTTCTGTTGCTTTAAAAATCGCACTCAAGAGTTTAGAACACCATGGCATTACAATAACACTCGCTTACTCGAGCTAAAACATATCAGACATATTAACCCTTAATTTTCTTCTGTGCCCAAGTGATTTCATTTTCCTTCATTGGTAATTTCTGGCGAGCTTGGGCACGTTTTCGCGGGATGACGATTTCACTATTCGACCGAACCATTTGATCTCTTGGTCTTTGTGTTTTCTGCCTCTACTATGACATCTGTAGGAATTTAGGCCTAGTTACTTCTAACAATAGTATTTCCGCAAATCCGTCATTAAATAACGGAAATTTTTTTATGTAGCCCGTTTGCACTGCACGCTTTACATCATTGACAGCAGATCATGCATAATAGTCACCAAACAAATGTTTTCGGATTAGAATATCTAAGGTTTTCTACATCAAAATGCCTACTAGACTGCCGATGAATATTACCACTTACACGTTTATCATAATATCGTTAGGCTCAGAAACATTTTCAAGGCATAGGAAGACCGTCTTCTTCTCCTAATGTCACCCAAACCTACGCAGACGCACACACCGTCCTTTACGATCATCTCAAGAATGCAATGCTGGCTTTATTCGATCAGAGTTCAAATTATAATGTCACACTTCTTCCACATAAAGAAAAAGTCAATTATTATTTCCATTGTTTTGGTTAAATTTTTAACTATAGGGCGTTGAATGTACAAGATTCTCTCAGAGAGAGGCCATAAAAAGTACGAGTACAACGCACCAGCGCGTGCGTGAAGCGATTCACTGCGGAAACTGCAGTTTAGCAAGCTCAAGCCAAAAAGTTGGTTGAATCTGCACACACAAAGCCTCGGAGATCAATGATTGCAATTTGCTTTGACATCTATCTTTCCTTTACGATGAGTAGTATGCTGTGTGTTCACAGACTGCGGGTTATACATAATCAACACTGATTTTGAACCAAAGCTTTTATCTAGCAACATTCGTCCGATTCTATTTAAATTCTGCGACCTTCAATACATTCAATACAATATGGAACTACGCTACATTTTAATACTGGCAAAGACCAGAAAGGCAACGCTTGAGTCGTAGGCTATGCGCGATTATTCTGGATAACTCGTGAGCTGAGAACGCAAATTGAAATCTCTTCTCTAATTACTCTATCGCCAGAAGCCGCTTTAATCTTGTTAAAAAATGTATTACTGACCCTGATGGTTGGATCAAACGTAGCCTACGTGACGGGACTCTGTAAAGTGCGGATCCGGACGGCGGATCCGGACGGCGGATGCGGACGGCGGACGGCGGACGGCGGACGGCGGACGGCGGACAATAATAAAAAAATAAAAAAATAAAAATAAAATAAAACAAAATAGACGTATAAAATAAATAAACGAGATAAATGAATAAGACGGCGGACGGCGGACAATAATAAAAAAAAATAAAATAATAGAAATAAAATAAAAAATAAAAATAAAATAAAATAAAATAGACGTATAAGTGTAAAATGGGGTTGACAGGCCTACACGACTCCCCAGCGCGTGTTTAAAATAGCCTTTCTATAGTTTGGCTCTCACGAGTATGTCTTTGAGCGACCGCCCTCTTTTATAAGATACGAGGGGCGGTTTTTTGTAGATTTCGCTCAGTAATGGTTGTTGTTCTATTAAATGCCAGTTTTTCATGAGAATTTGCTTTAGGTTTGGCACTGATGGTTGGTATTGTGTGACAAAAGGCAAGATTCGTTGGTTTGTCTTTGGTTTCTGTTGAAGGGCTAGTTTCCTGTCTTTGAAGTTCACCTCTGAGAGGGTTGTGTTAATAAGATCCTCTGGGTAACCCCTCTGTAGCAGATGCGCTTTGAAATTTGTAATTTTCTCTTCGAATATCAGTTCGGAAGAGTTTGTTCTGAGGAGTCGGAGGGCTTCCCTTTAATGAAGCCTTTTTAACTCCTTGCGGGTGACAGGAAGCAAAATGGGTATACTGAAATGTCTCAGTTGGTTTGAAATGAGTACGCACATCAAGGATTGCGTCTCTTTCGAATCTTTCCCCTTTGTAGATGTAGGTGTCCAGGAATGTTGTTTCCTTATCGGAAATTTCAGCCGTAAATTTGATCGTAGGGTGATGATTGTTTGCTTGTTCAATGAAATGTTTTATTCTGGCTCTGTTTGTAGTCCAGAGCGAGAAGATGTCGTCTATATAACGTTTCCAAACGAGCGGTTTGAAAAGGCTTCGGCTAAGGATTTCCGTCTCTACCTTGTTCATGAATATATTAGAAAAGGCGACTGCCATTTTCGTGCCCATGGCCGTACCATGTGTTTGAAGGTAGTTTTTTCCATTAAACTGGAAAGAGTTCTCTTGGAGAATTAGCCTTAGCGCTCGTTTTAGTAGTTGTGTAGGGATAGGAGGTTCGTTTCTATAGAATATTTCGTATGCTCTGGGGAGTCGTGTAGGCCTGTCAACCCCATTTTACACTGCTCGTTTATTTATTTTATACGTCTATTTTGTTTTATTTTATTTTTATTTTTTTATTTTTTTATTATTGTCCGCCGTCCGCCGTCCGCCGTCCGCCGTCCGCATCCGCCGTCCGGATCCGCCGTCCGGATCCGCACTTTACAGAGTCCCCTACGTGACAGGCGTTTGAAAAGGAAGGGAAAGGGAGTTTTAGGTGCGAGAGAAACGCGAGAAGCGCGCGGGGAGGGGGCCCTCCTCGCGCGTCCCTCGCGCGCCCCTAGCGCCCAAAACCGCCTTTCCCTTCCCTTTCATACGCCTGCCACGCAGGCTAGATCAAAAGGTGAAGAAACTAATTGCTTTTCGCAGTAGGAAGTTTATTGCTTGTCACTCAAAACTTAGCGTCCTTAACAACGCCGGCGTCATGTGGTGTGCAAAAGAAAGTCGTATGCGGGTCCTCATGAGTCTCTAGATCGTCGCCTCTAAATCATCTCATTAAAACCTTAAAATCATTACATGAAACCTCATCCATTTTTCAATTTGAACAGAACAGCTTTATACCTAAATAGTCTGCTAAATAGTAACTTACTAGTTTTTTACAAGTTATTTAGTACCCTAGATATTACATGATGCTAAAAATTAGTGACTAGCTTGATGAGTAGCCATCGGGTAGACAGATAGCCATAACACAGTCCCTTTATTTAAAGTGGCGGAGTGAGTTACTTTTTAGTTTTTGCTAATGTAGACGGCTTCGTCACGCCGTGAGTCACGCGTTCCTGTTCCTGTCAGTTGTTATCGCCTTTCTTATTGAACCGCGGCTTATATCCAAGCTTCTCCGTCATGCATTCGATGTACTTCCCTTCTTTACATTTTCCGTCCCGGTCTTCCACCCATTTCACTGTGAGATCTTTGCCACCATTTTTCTCAATCTGCTTCTTTATAAACTCATCGATATCCAAATTTTGCCATTTATGCTCGGGTACCCTCCTATGCATGTCTTTTGAATATCCCACGTAAAGGTACACAACGTTCTCATCTGTCTTACGGAGGCCTATGGTATAAATACCCTCAGCTTCGGGTATATCGCTAAGATCATCGATGAACGATCTCCATACTTTCCTGATCAATCGGTTACAAATAGAAGATGCCATCTGACAAGCAACACAAACAAAAGTTATGTTTGTAACTGAAGTTTATTTCGATTCGTCACGAGTTTCTTCGCCAAGCTTTTAAATTTGTCTTTTTAATAACATTCAATATCTACAGATTGCGAGACTTTTCTCAACAAAACCGATATCATGAGCAATCTTGATTCTTAGGATTCCGACAAATTTTTTGGTGAAGTTCGCTAGAAACACGAGTATGAAAGAACACATTGTTGTACTGGGAAGAATTGAAGTAGACTGCGAGCAGTCCCTTAGGATGGTCACGCGAGCGAGGAAAGCGCGAGCGAGGAAATCGAGCGAAGGGCGCGAAAGCCGAGGGGTGGGGAGAAGGAGGGAAAAGAGGGAGGTTACAAAAGAGAATGAATGCAGTCCCTCTTTAAAAAGTCCCTCTTCTTCCTGCCTCTCTCCAGTTTCCCTCTCGGCCAATTCGCTCTCTCCAGTCCTGCCGAGCTTATACTTGACTGACTGAAGAGGGACTGCTCGCAGTCTAGAATTGAAGATGCTCCTAGGAAAAGAAGGGAAACAACAGTAAGAACAGCCGGCGCGTAAAACTGAAAAGTTAGTTCTTTGATTATTTGTTTGTTCTTTGTTGTCAGTTCTTTTTAGGGGATTACATATAAATAGTCAGTAGACTTATCTTATGTTGCATCATCGTTCCGGCTCGATGATCGAGGGATCTACTTGCCTAAGAAAAAGAAATCGGCTACATGATTCAAAATACCAGTGTTAAACACTACATGTGCTATAACATAGCGCAACTGAACACGCAAGTGTGATGCCAAAATTTCAAGTTTAAACCCTGAGGCGACGGAGTCTTTATATATATCGGCCACTGAAAGAGCTCCCGTTGTAAGCATTGGAAAAAAAATAGGAAGAAAAACTGCCACAAGCTTCGGTTAAGACTTTTATCTAAAAAAGGGGAACAGCTGTTTACTCAGTTTTACCCGGTTCTATTTTATAAGTGATTTGGAGTCAGGTTTGATTGACCGTCCTAGAGACTCTACAATATCATTTATACAGCTATTTCGAGAAAGGTTGTCGGAAAAAATGTGCTCCACTCGGAAAGGTAATAACACTGTGCCCGACTTTGTAGCTCTCGAACCTACTTTTTTTGCTTTCCTTTAGTACTCGCAAAGACTCGTCTATGGCCTCTTATGCCATTCTTTCAAATTTCTTTTCGGGATTGCCTCGCGCACTTTTTCCGACAAGCTCTGTTAATAATAAGTCTGGGTCAAAGTACGACCAAAATAAGTGTAACGTGACTCCTTCTGAGAAAACCAAATCGTACTCAGTTTCCGAGAATTAAGCTATGAACCTGGATTTTTTAACACATCATTTTCTAAACATGCATTGGCCATGTTTTGAACGACGACATTTTAATCCGCGTGAAAGAACTTACACGCACTGTTTCAGTCTGAATGTACTTACTTTTAAAACAACGATTGAGCAAGCTAACGGTAGGTGAAGTGTTTTTTTTGGTCATATTTTCTTCAACAACTGAAATGGTATCACTCACAATTAACGGAATGTAGTTATCGATTAAATTAGGACGATTTTTGCTAATGTTGGCTACTTCTTATTAGTAAGAGGGCGCGACCGAATAATGGAAGGAACTTATCGTTCGAGCAAGCGTTTGTAACAATATATAAAGACCAGTTCACGATCGATAGTGCCAATTTCTCCAGTCCAGAGTTCCGCGCGCAGAAAGTCAAATCACTGTCGCAGCAGTATGTGATCATAATATCTTCAATTTTACTGACTTTCTGGGGATAAATACCTTAACAACTGTCCTGCGCTCTTGAGTATTAAAAATCTAAGGGGGAAACCAAAACAAGTACAATAAGTTAGCAACTCGTCAGTATATTACAAAGAGGTGAAGTGTAAGCAACATGGAGAAAGTTCAAAGGGACTCAAAAAGCTTTAAAATTCATATAAAGTTCATAAAATCTCTGCAATTTTTTGCCGCGTTTGCTTCCCGTCCTTCCCAATAAACATCAGCCCGTAATCACCAACTGGCATCTCGTTTGCCAGGAGCCGATTATCGGCTCCTGACTTTGCCAAAACCGACCTCGTATTCCAAACTTTCCCACATTCCGCTTCATTAACTTCCCTAGCCTTCCGAGGACAGAGCAGAAGAAAATTTGAATTTTATCAAAAAAATGGGAAACAGCTATCAGTCTCACCTTATATCCTCGATCTCTTGCCTCAGAACTATTGCAATGTAGCGATTTTGAATTTTCCCGCCTTCGGGGGTGAGAATTTATAGGCTCCATGACGTAATTCTTATTTTCAATTTTGACCAATTATTACCAGGCTTCTAAAATTGATTGGATGGAGGCCAAGCGTATATTTTCTACTAAAAATATAATCCAATCCATAACGAGGGGATATTTCCCTACTGGCAAACAAAATGCTTGACAAATAACCCTTTCTGTTCGATGATGCAATAATCTATATTATTTTGTTTCATTTCTCAGCGAGAGTGTATAGGAGGAGGGAGTCATACCACATTTCATTTCAGAAAAACTGACGGATGTAACAATTTATTTTTCCCACTCTTTTGTAAACGACCAATTAAAGCGTAAGAGTGCAAGCTTCCGCAAGCGTCCAAGAATTTGAACTGGCTTCATTCAAAGCTATAAATAGCATTGGCTCTAGGTTTATTTCGCCCTCAACCACTCCAGCTTTCCAAGGACAAAGTATCTAGAAAGTAAAAGTTTGAATTTTGGGCAGAAAGGATCCGGCCAATAAGATTTTCTGATGTAACATAGTCTCGCGCGATTTTCAAGTTGAATACCGCCGTAATCGATAGAGGTCAAGCTTTATATTTTCTTTCAATCACGAAAGGGATTTTTCCCCGCAATAGATGTTCTATTTATCATGTTTATTCAATAAAAATAAAATGCGATGGTTCATGATGAAAGAACCTCGCACCTTGGAATCTTTCGTATTTTTCTTCTTTTTAATCTTTCTCCTCGATCAGCACCAGTCTGTTATCGAAAGTGTTGCAGATTTTTACCCCCCCCCCCCAGCAATTTCTGTTTCCTGCTCCTTTTCAAACTGGAAAAAAGATCGGGGGGGAAGCCTGGTTATCCCCCGAGGAGGGTGAGTCAACATGAAAACACGTTCATTTTTGGAGAATTTTATATAAACTGGGTATTAACAAAGTCAAAATGGAATAGAGAGCGAGAAAAAAGATCGAAACAGATTCGACACGAAAAGGATTGTAACAAAACTATGCCCTTAGAGTTGCAATTTTTTTTTCTTAGTCACTCCTATGCTAACTGGCCGAAAACCAGTTCAAAAAGAAAGATTTGGTCAGAAATGACTGACGGCATAGGGGTTTAATGTAAAGGCCAGGGTACTGTTAACGGTATTTTTTCTTTATTTCCAACTTTTCAATAGATTTATTTATCCGAGAATATGCTTTTAAAGAACGCTTCCCCTTTAGCAAGCAAACAGTTTCAAAATATTCACGTCTGTGGCCAAGTCTCTAAATCTGTAATCATTACATTAACCATGTTAAAACCTTATCCATGTTTCAGTTTCAACAGAACAACTTTCTGCTGAATAGTTACTAACTAACCAAGCTCTTGTTTGTGACCTACTAGTTTTCATAAGTTATTTAGTATCCTAAATATAAGATGATGTCAGAAAATTAGTGACTATCTTGTTGAGTAGCCATCGGGTAGTATTCAACCAGTAAGTCACTTTCAGACATCATCTTACCAAGAAATACTAACATACATAACATAACATATAGTATATTTTTTTTCCATCAAATAACGGACATTTGGAATCAGCTGCCTTTAGATATTCGTTGCTCTGATAATGTAAATACTTTCAAGTCTAGAGTTGAGAAATTTCCTTGTGATTTTTAAATTTTGCCATATCTTAATGTAGTCTTCGATTTTTTTGTTTTTATGTTTTTTTTTAGTTAGTTAAACAGAACTAATGTCTTGAAGTATAGTTTTCCCCATGAATAACTGACATGTGGAATCAACTACCTTTAGAGATTCGTTGCTATGATAATGTAAATATTTTTAAGTTTAGAGTTAAGAAATTTCTTAGTGACTTTTAATTTGTTTATTATTATTATTATTATTATTTATTTTTATTATTAAGTATCTACATTTGTTCATGGGTGATCTATTTTATATGGGGTTTAGGGCTGCTTTACAGATTATCCTTTGGGCTTTGACCTTAGATTGCGATGAATAAAAAAATACAACTTAATGCTATTGTGAAGTTGCGACTTGAGCTCAAATAAACGGTTACATTATTTGCCCTTAGTTCCGTTAATAGTCCTCCTACTAGTCCGTTCTACACTGTCTTATATGCAAATCAAGTCCCTTTTTGCTTCGAACGTTAACGCTCATTCCGCATCTAATAATTTTATCGTACATTAAGTCCCTTGAGACCCGACACTACAGCTTTGTTCATACTACACCGTCTGGATAGGGATTTTGTTCACACATAACAATGGTGATTTTGAAGCGAATTCTGAACGAGGGAAAAGCTGTGCCTTGCACATCTTGAAGCATCCTCGGGGACCCAGGGGCAGATAGTTGGGGTGGGGGGGTGGGGGGAGTGTAAACGGGCGGAAAAAAGTGGCGCCACGAAAAATAAAGAATGAATACACTTCCCCTCGCCCCCACTATCTGCCCCTGGGTCTCCGAGGACGCCCTGTTCACACAGCAGAAGTGAATAACTAGGAGCAAAACCTGTATATGAACCAACTGAGACGGAAGTAAACATCCAGGCCCCAGTTGTTCAAAAGGTGGATAGCAGTATCCAATGGATGAATCTCTGTCCACTGGGTAATGCAAATGGATTCCTTAATACTTATCCCCTGGATAGCAACTTATCCGGTTGGTAGCGCTATCCAACGTTTGAACAACTGGGGCCAGGGAAAAGACATAACTAATCGATGACATCAATGACATCAACGAAATCAATGAGTAATCAGTAGGTAATCGATAGGTAATCAGTTGATTAGTCATTGATTATTGCCGATGATCAATGAGTAATCAATGACTAATCGATAGGCCACAAATTTTTGGTCATTGATTAGTCATCGATTGCATCGATTAGTCATTGATTGCATAGTTTAGTCATTGATTTCATCCATTACTCATCGATATCATCTCGTGGCTGCAAACGTATTCGGCGAAGAAAAACAAAATTAAAAAAACTGTATTTGTGATTAGCACTTTGCATCTCGACATCGTCAACAGGATCTTCAGATACAAGGAAAAATGCCTCTAACACAGATAAAAGAATCTGAAAACAAAAAAAATGATACAGGAAAGCAAGAAAAGTGTCCTTCGTGCGCAGTATAATAGTCGTTAAGTAATCAATGGGTCATTGATGAGTAATCAATTACATCAATGAGTAATCGATGTCATTGATGAGTAATCGATAGGCCACAAAATTTTTTGGCTTCGATTCAATGATCATCTCCAATAAGGGACCGGTCATTATTTATCACCTGGGGGGGTCGGAGGATTTTGGGGGGGATCACTTGATTTTTAGGAGAACAGAGGGGGGATCAGTCGTAACTGAGAGCCCAAAAGGGGGAGATCACTGAAAATTTTGGAAGGATTCAGAGGGGGGACCACTCAAATCTGCTTGAACAATGCCAGTTTGAAAGCATACAACATAAATGTGCCCATTCTGCTGGGAGATGATAGCATTTGCAATCTCAATTTGTTCTAACACAACTTTATTTAAAAAAACGGGAGTCTGTCACACTGGCGAATGTGTGCATTTCAATTTATATCGAGAAAGCTTTGTTTTAACGCATTTATATTTTTCCTTTTATAACGTGCTCACGACTTAGCTAATATTCATCTTTAAACATGACAGGTGAATTCTAAATTGTGAACTATATAAACTTCTGATAACTGAAACATTGTAAAAAGCGTGTTTGTTTAATCGAGTACGATGCCATCGTTCGAGAGGTGACAGCGGGCAAGGCGAGGCCGAGCGCACAAACTCGGCCATTTCAGACGCTCTTGTTGACGGTGCAACGCTGGAATGGGAGAAGTACCGTCGATTCGAAGATCTCTCTGAAGACGAAATCAAAGCCATGTCCCTCCATTCCTACGAACAGTACGAAAAAGAGCGTGTGGAAAAAAATGCTTGGCACGTTTGCAAGCAGGTCGCCGAAAGGATAGACGACGCCCCTGTCCTGAAGGATTACATCAGTAGTAGAGTGAGTGAGTCTCCCGAAGAGTGATTATTTTTTAATGCTTCTGAGTTAATTACGTACCGAAATGCTTCAGAAAACAGTAAGGCCGAAATACCCGGTGCGGCACATCTTGGCAAAATAGAGAGTTTTATTGAGGACCACTACGTCCGAGGAGAGCTCTTTTTTGAATTTTGTCGGGATGCCTGCAATAAGCAAAGCGATGCAAGCTCCACACTCTGTTCCTGGTGTACCAACAACAGATGGATGGGACCAGTAACAGAAAGAATCCCTCAGCCTGTGCCAGACAAGCAAAATCCCGGGCACTTTATGGATGTGTACGAAACGCCGACAACAGGTGGGGCTCCAGACGATTATCAACCGAGGAAATGTCTGAAGGACTTGTACGAACAAAACGCCATCTCTGCGGGTAATCCAAATACCATCGCTGCTTTCTGTGCAACCTATAGTGTCGAGGAAAAGCATGTCATTGAATACCTAGGCCATCTAAATGATATCAACATCAGGAAGGATATTAGAACAAGAGAGGCTAAGGAGAAAAAAGGTTAGAAGAGGAACTAACATACAAGGACTACCAGTGGGGCATACTTATTGTTGAGAATGGCAAAGTTGAAAAGCTGAAGGTGAGACAGCTCGACCTGTACCTTAAGGAACATGGCCTGACCACTGTTGGTATAAAGCTGGACATGCAAGATAAAGGCAATTCGCTACCATTACTATCAACAGAGAAGTCCAGGCAACGGGAATGAGTTGTCCAGCAGTGAGGAAGAGAGTGAAGAATCAGATACGGAGTTAGATGATGACGAGGATAGCGAAGATGATCTTGTCATTGCTGATCTCGATGAACAGTCAACTGTTCGTATGCCAGTTTTAACTTTTGTACCAGATGACCAAATAGCTGAAGTTACTGTACAAGCAAACACTGGATGAAGAAAAAAAAAAGGAAAACAAAAAGAAAACGAACAAAAAAAATTATAAAAATGTGAGCGAAGCTACAAAGGCTGATCTATTACACTATAGATGAAAATAAAAAAGGAGACAGGAACAGTGGCCGATCCTAGCCCTTCCAGATGGCCGAATTGTCGCTAAATATGACCTGCTGATAGGGACTTGGCGGACTGCTATTTGGCACTCTAAAAAAAGTAACTTTGCAGTTTCAAGCACTGATTGCAGTTTCAAGCACTTTGCAGTTTTAAGCAAGATTGCTTGTATGTCAACTGAATTCAGATGTCTGGATCCAGACTAGGAAAAGAAACGGATCAAGAGACACTTTTAAAAAAAGACTGCGCGATAACGGCTTTATTATGCTGTAAGTACATCATAGTTAGAAATACTACCTGTATATGAACGTTTAAAACACTAAATATACACGTCGAAAGGTGAATATGGGTACAAAGACATGAGGGGGGCGGGGGGGGATCACGAAAGTTATATATAGTTATGAGAGGGGATCACTTCAATAAAATAACATTTAAAGGGGGGATCGGCTAAATTTCATCGTGTTTAGCCCAAAATCCTCCGACCCCTCCAGGCGATAAATAATGACCGGTCCCTAATCAATGACTAATCAGCTGATTACTCATCAATTACTCATTGATTACCAATTGATGTCATTGATCATCGATTAGTTAGGTCTGGCTTTTTGTGTTGACACGAAAAGCTATCCAGTAATAGTACAGACATAGCCTTAGACACTATTTACATGTGGTAACCAATAAATATGCCTTACTTCTCATAACTTGAAAATTTCTTATCTTTGTACTAACTTTAACATAATTAGAACACTTTTGGTCTATCCACCAAAGACCAGTCTAACTGCTAAACCAAAATACATAACACTTGAAAGGTTTTTAAAGGCTGTTGAACACACTTACAGCAGGAGCAGCCTACAGTTTCAAATTATTTTTATACAGTCAAACTGGACTGTTCATGTAAAAAGTCACCAAAAAACGTGCACATATTTTAACCAAGAAAACACTGATTTACATGCAGAGCAGAAACCCCCCTTGACTTCACTATTTCTAATGGTCCAAACCTTATGTACAATATTTTAGCAATTAATAGGCCATTTGCACGATGGCATAATTTCAATTCTACCAGAATCCATATAATTTTTCTTTTCCTATTTAAATTTGACCATCCCAGTGAGGTTTCACACAACAGTAGGCCTAATTTGCACAACAAAGCAACACACTGAACCACTCTGGTAGTAGTGGTAAAATGACATCATCGTGCAAATAGCCCATTGGCAATTAGACTATAAAATAATAAATGAATAAAATATACTAATAATATATAACGAGTTGGAGGTAGCACATCCACAAAGTAGTTCTTCATCTACTTTCCTAATCGAATTGGAATCTCGAAATATTGGATTTTGAGGAGAAGGGAAAACTGGAGTACCCGAGAAAAACCTCTTGGAGCAAGGGAGAGAACCAACAAACAAACTCAAACCACATATGGTGTCGACACCGGGATTTGAACCCAGGCCACATTGGTGGGAGGCAAGTGCTCTCCCCAGTGCAACATGATGACAGTGACAAAGGCAAATTTAAAGCACTGGAAGTTGGGTTCAGTCCTTTCACATGCACCGTCATGTCTTCAGTTGTCATTGCATTGCCTTTGCTATAAAGCCTTTTCTCTAGCTCACCTAAGCATGCATTTTAACATTACAATACACTGTTGAACTTCCATTAAGAGGCCACCTATTAAGCGAACACCCTCTATTTAGTGGCCAGTGATAAAAATCCAAAAAGAATGGCAGAAATGAATGGGAACTTAAACCTCTATTAAGCGGCCAACTCAGCCACTTGCATTACCTCCCACATGCATGGCCACTTACTGAAAGTTTAACTGTACCTTTTCCTTATGACCAGTTCTTAGGTTGTGTCTCATGAAAATTAAATAAGGTAATAATTTTTAATCCTCCCACATACTTGTGATGAGAGAATTTTTCACATTACATCGTCCCTTTTTAACCCAATGTGCTGCAAGGTCATCATAAACTTTGGGTTTAAGCGGATATCTTGAAACATACCATTTACAAATTTGACACATTGATAAATCAAGGTTGCTGCGAAACACCTTGTATTTTAGTCTCCATTTAAAGTATTCATTGTAAGCAGTGTTATTTTTGTCCAGATACTGAAGGTACTCTGCAAATTGTTTAACAGTTTTGAAGTCCATAACATTGATGTAAGACCCTGGAATTGCAAGCTTGGAGTAATTAGCACCTCCCATCACAATTGGAACCACATTTAAGTCTTCACCTGAAAGAGATGATAGAAGAAATAAATTTCTTTGTTTAATCCTTATTCCTCAAGTAGCCTGACATAACTTTCACTCTTTAAAACTTGTTATTAAATTAATTAAAATTTGCAATAAATGTGAAAGATGAAGTAAAGATTGTCTTTCTTTTTGTCTTTTTAATCCATCAGAAAATTGGAACCACAACATACAGGCAGGGCTTGAAATTAACGGTAACCTGTTAACCAACGGTTAGTAGTTTCCAACATTACTAAAAATGTGCCCAAGTAACCCGAAATGGTTAGTTAAAATTTCTGTTAAATCAAATATTATCATTCATAGAAATTCTTCTTACAAATGAGCATTAATTTTCACGAAAGGCTGATGTGTTTCTTTTTTGCGTAAGGTTGTTTTCTATCTTGAACAATTTTTTGTTCTAAAAGATATGCTTACTGCATAATTGAACAACAAGAAAAAGTCGCATTTCGCAGGAGGCAAGGTAACAAGGCTTGTTGGATGAGGAGATATCTGGACACAACCTTAGTATACCTCCGCCATCTTGCTTGTTTCTGTTTTGGTTTGTTTTCTTTTGGAAGTGGCTCATTTGTGCAACCTATTTATTATACAAACTAGCAGTAATCAGAGCTTAGGAGAGTGCGCTCAATATGTTTTTTGGGCTAACAGGTAGCAGTTGAGCGGGAAGGGTGGTTGCGATATAGATAAATATGATTATGGTATATTTTGAACGTAAGGGTTGCGTATGGCGAAACCTCTATTTGACCCGGGATTCTTTTTCTTTCTTCAAAAACATTTCTTCGGATAATTTTCTCTGTTATTTTTAAGAGCATCCAATCATCAACTTGTTGACAAAATGAATTAAATTGAATTTACTAAAAGCTTTCACATCTGAATTCAAACTTCGCACAAAACACTATCAAAGCCTTCAATGGAATGTGTGTGCGACTCACATCAATAACTTTACCAGTAATTTGGTCGAACGTGTTGATTTCAGTGACTCGAGAGTGGCACTACTGTGGGCTGGTTTATAAGTTTTTCCTAATAAATAACATAGAGTTTAAGTGTTCATTTGTCCAGTGCATAAAAATATCACAAGTCATGATCAAATGGCGCCGCCGAGCTTCACATCTTGGTAGATTTACTTTGTGGCACAACCGTTGCCGAGCTACACAACTCGGTAGATTTACTTTGTCACACATTGGCCGCCGAGCTACACAACTCGGTAAATTTACCATGTGCTACAATAGACTGCTTGCAGTCTGCCTTTTCTCTTTTAAATCTGTCTAGTTCTTATCTCATCCAGCGTGATTGCAAACCACGACGTCATTATTACTAAAGGGAATGAGATTTTTTCTTCTCGGGCTTACGCCTCGTTTCTCGCGGCTCGCGGCTTTGCCACTCACGTGCTTAGGTTTCGCGTGCAGAACATACTTTGCAAAGAAAAATACGAGACTGCTCGCAGTCTAGTGGTACAACGGCCGCCGAACTAAACCCGGTTTGATGCATGCACCAGGAGTCGCAGACATTTTCCAAAGACAGTGACGAACCATACTGAAAAATATGAAGGCTTAATCCAAAGTAAACGTTAACAGCAAACTTCTGAAAGATGAACGCTTTGGACGATTCAACAAACACAGATCGATGTACGCTCTACGAAGATTCAGCAAACTTTGTAAAACATGAACGCTTTACGAAGAATATCAGACCTTAGCAAACCGCTTTGAAAGATGAACGCCGCAGACACAAGAATCACCACAAGAGTTAGCACGTCAAAGTGAGGCAAATCGTAAGCAAGCCCCTCAAAGCGAGGCAAATGTGTGTCGACAACAAAAATACATTCTCACAAAAATCTCCCTTATTAATTGCACAGGACACCCAATAACGCACAGAACGCCCAACACAAATTAGGGGTTGCGTTCTCATACCTTGAACACAATCAGATGCAGAAATAGGTCGCCGGACGAAAGGTGTGAGGAGCAAACGGAAGATTCAGAAAAACAACAAAGAACAAGTATAGTTTACAACAATACAGAAGGCTCTCTGGAACGATACAAAGAAAAGCGAAAACAAGGTGGAGGAACTTCCAAGAAGAATGAAAAAAAGCATTCACCCGGTTACAGTTCGATGAGCCTATACAAACAATATTTTAAACCAATCCATCCATACTTTAGTTTGCCCCATTTATTAGCACAATTTTCAGTAGTTAACATATTGTAACTTCAAGAACAGATTCTTGGATAATAGACTCTAAAATTTGGTTAGTAAAATTTATGCCTACTAACCCAAAGGGTTAGTAATCCAAAAAATTAATTTTGAGCCCTAACAGGATGCTGTAGGCCCTGAAGTACACATACCAACTCCACAGTACGGCCAGTAACAGCTAACCTTACACATGTACCTGACTGAGCTCATCAGTCCTTATGTTCCTAGGCGAGCTCTTAGGTCTGCTGACCAACTTCTACTGGAGTAGCCAACGCAAAAGCTCAAATTGATTGGCTTGAGAGCTTTCTCAGTGTGTGCGCCTTACCTCTGGAACACACTTCCACTTGAGATTAAAAGCAGCGCAACTGTCTCTGTCTTTAAAGTTACGCTTAAGACCCATCTTTTTCGACAAGCATGTTTTTAGACTTTAACTTTTTTTTTCCAATTTTTTGGACTTTTAGACTTTTGTTTTTTTTTATTCTTAGGATTTTTTACATATTTTTTTAGTGTATAGATTATAATATGTTTGACACCGTAAAGCACATTTGGGCATTAGGAAAATGCGCTACAGAAATAACTTATTCTATTCTATTCTATGTGCACAACCATATCATCCTAGTAGTGGCAGCCATGGACAGCTGTTTTCTCCTCACTAGGACTCATAAGCAAGGCGTAGCCCCAGGCAAGACATTACAGAAATGCACACCCATTGTTAATTGTCGATCGTTAATAACTTCATTATTCACTATTCACTATTCCTGTTAAATACTTCATTAAATGCCATTATTAATTACCAAGTGTATCTAAAGTTACTCTAAGTTCTATTAAATTTCAAATGGAAGAAGGCTTTCTATGATTTTTGCCTGCGTCGCTGACACTCTAAACCTTCTGTATAGAGCGTCTGCGAATTATTGCACAATATCGTGTTCAAATCCCACAGAGTCGCAAGGACATATCTCAGCACTTTTGGTTGGCGTGTTTCTTATGCAGTTTGTGATTAGTCCGATTTGAATTAAGTGTTGAAAAACCAAACACAACTAACACAGGAAAAAATAACGGATTTCCATTTTTGGATATTTTAGGGTATTTAAAGAATACCCACAAAAATCCCAAATTTGGAAGAGTGAGACAAGTCCCAATAAGGGAACTTGGTTGGGAATTCCATGGTTGGGACTTATTGTCTCACTTTGCCAATTTTGGGATTTTTATGGGTATTCTTTAAATACCCTAAAATATCCAAAAATGGGAATCCTTTACTTTTTCCTGTGTAATAGCTCGTGGCAACAGAGATTAAGCTTGTGGTTTGAAATGTGACCTTACAGTCAGTTTGAACGACACAGCTTTTTCTTGCTCTCTTTTTGTGTAGTTTATGCAGTGCATGGAGTATTCCACACTTTGACTGAGAAAACCTTTTTTGCCACTTTGAGTCTCACATTTAGAGGTGATGAAGCGGGTCCGTTCCATGCAAATTCAGTAATTAGTTCCTGTGGCTTATGTTTCGGTAAATGTTTCTTTGACAGGATTTAATCACAGCTACAGTTTACCATTAAAACGATTTTCTTTTACCTTTGTTTAAGCCTTACGTTTTTTTAATTGCGGCTAAATAATAACCTCAGTTTCCTTGGTTTTCTCCTAAATGCCTGGACCTTTTTTTGGGCCCTGAACATCATGATTTCATAATAATAATAATAATACCTTTATTTATTACCTTTGGCATTAAGAATTAAGTAATATTACAATAGAAATTCAAAACACTACATATTATATATACATATCACATTAAGTTAAATTTAGCACCTCTAGGAATAAGCGATTGTTTGTGCCTAACACTGCGTGATACAGGTATTCTGAGGTGCGCTGGGTTAGTCTTACAAGATCTTAGATTATGGCCATGATCCACTGGCTTGTCTAAAAAATGTTTGCAAGGATGTGCTTCTGATTCTAGAATACATTTAAATTCTTTCCTCGTCAAACTCTGACGCCTAGTTACAAGTGACTCAACAGTATCCCTAGGGAGACCAATGACATTTAGACATCTATTCTGCACTCTGTAGATCTTCATTTGTTTTGACGCTAGAACTGTCAGCTAGATTGCAGAATACGCGGCAGAGCATCTGCAGCGATTGGAAGACGCTGGAAAACCAGTCAGCAAATATACAAGCAAATTCCGGCCTTGAAGGAATTCTCTCAAAGAATTCTTTTGTGTAGAAGAGGGCTTTAAAGTTTGAACTGCTGTTACATGGTTTACTGTAAACGATCCTTGCCAACTCCCTTCTGTGAATTTTGACATGTCACTGCACCCAACCTTCAAGCACACGTACGAATTAGGCCAATCGTGAGGCGCATAAGAAACCAGTGAGAAACCCGCCTATCAGAAACGCTCACATATGTCCTTGCGACTCTGCAGGATATTAGAACAAGCTTTTGTGCACTAATTCGCAGACGGACAATACAAATGGTTTTGATGAGTGCGTAGGCCGGCTGCAATGCCGGCTAGTATGATTTCAGACCCAATTGCACTCCACTCAGTTCAACTACCATTATAAACAATACACAAAAAAATACTCAATTCTGATTGATTGAAAGTAAAGGGCAGTTTTCTTGTAACACAGGTGCAAATTTGTAACACAAACGCAGTCAGAGTGGGTTCAGCAAATTCAAAACGATGAAAACAACGTGGTGTGGGGTGAAGCAATTAGGTTCGGTACGTGACAAGTTTGACATTTAAACTTTTTTGAATGTTTTTATGTTTACTTGCAAACTGCCCTGACTAGAGTGTTTTCAAAACAGCTATCAAAACAGTGAAAAGACAAAGACTTACCAAGCCTTCCCCAATACTTTTCGGTGATGTAGTCTTCACATAAAGCGTTCTCGAATGACAAATAGAATTTAAACTTTTTAAGGCAATCAGTTGGCGGATTTGAACATCTTTTTCCAGAACAACCTCCAAAGATATCGACCTTGATGTATTTTTGCAGATTTTGGACAAACGCCTTTCGAGGTTGAGCGCCACAATTACCAACCATCCAAGCCACAAGTTCAGTTTTTCCTTGGGAATGGTCTGGTATGTTTTTCATTTTCTCTACTTTTTCTTCTTCACTCAGTTCCTCGTAACTTCCATATGGCGACAAGAAATCTGAATCGCTTCTATACGTCCACGTTGAGTTAAACAGCCCGTTTAATGGAGCAGGATTTGGTGTTGCATTTGGACTTTCCCACAAAGCGTATACCCAGCGCTGTGAAGTGGGCCTGCTTTTCAGAAGCGTTCTCAGATGATCTACACTTGGCATGTTTCTAGCGTGAAACACGACTAAGTCGCTTTCCTCAAACCGCTGTTTGTCGTAGGTCAATTCGAAATCACCTGAGAGACATTTACTTGAGGCAAATAAAAACTTGTTTTCAAATCCGCAGTTATCACGATCTCCTATCCACTCCACTGTCCTGAAGAAGACAGTGTAGACAAGAACGACTGTCTTGGTCCTCTCTTCTTCAGTGGGTTGCACCGTTGTAGTCACGCTGTTCCTGTCCACCATAAATTTATCGATTGAGTGGTTAAATTTCAGCGAATGTGAGTTATTTTCAAAATAGATGTCAGCAGTGAAGTGCGACATCCATCTCATGACTTTCAGTCCTCGAATGTCATAAAAATTTAGCGTTGCAAGAAGAAGAACAGAAAATCCAAAGGTGGAAAGAAAACAGTATTTGGACCAATTTAGCGTCGACGTGGCCATTAATTACCGAGCCAAACTTGCTTACAAGATTGTAGGATGACTGGGCTGTGGAAAAAGTGTACTTACACAAAATACAGTTACATTTACCATAAATAAAGTTAAGTTATTTTCCAAAGCAGCTCATCGCGTCTTGAATTTTCTTTGTTTATACACAAAGGTGAGGTGGCTCCAGAGCTGTACAAAGTGTTAATATACCAAGTGACGTTCTCCTCGTCTCCTCGGCTACTTGGCCAAGCTCGTTCCCAGAGCTTCTCTATTCTCTCCTTTCAACTAGGGAACTTAGGATAGAGACGTTTTCGGGGCGACGGCAACTTCAACCGGACGTGACATCATCATTTGTTGGATATTGCGCATGCTCGTGCTCACCACCTTGCCGTCGTGGTCCCGTCGGCGACGTGAAACTGGTCTGTTTGGCGTTCGGTGAGGGTAAAAGGCGGAATGAGTTTGCGGAATGGCATGTGGCATGGCTTGCGGAATGACACAATTATGCAGAATGTAAAATATGGAAACTGGCGCAAAGAAATAAATTAAACTGAAAGGCTTGCGCGCGTCATTGCCGCGCCTTTTTTGGCGCCAATTTGAGTGAGCAACTGCTTCACTGGTTCACGCATTTAGGCATTTATCTAAAACATACCTGAGAATTGGCTGGGGTTCCTGAAGGCAGCCTCCAAACGAAAACTTTAAAGTCCGGTAAATATAGTGAGGCGTGACCAAAATAACTTAGTCTCCTCGATTGTAAAGTAACAAGACGAAATATCTTCTTTTTCCGTTATCCTTAGCGAATTACCATAGTTAAAATCCTTATTTTTCGATAGAAGGGAGTACCAGAATACTTAATTGTGCGGTTGATTTTTTGCTTCTTCAAAATACTGTCGGCACCGAAAATGTTACTCCTTCGATCAAGAATTACGTTGCGTTACTTCTGTCTCTTCAAACGTTCAATGTGACACGTGTAGTCACGGAACAGAGTGTCACGCAGAGTCGCAGACATGTAAAGTTCAGTGTTTCAAAATGGCTAAAATTAACCCAGTTTCACCTTTTTACCCCATTCTTTGATTGAAAAAAGCAATTTTGCAAAGGAAAAACCTACAAGACGTAGGAAAAACGAGCCTTTAGGCTGTAAATATCTATTTATGTGCGTTTCGAAATTGGAAGTGTTTACACAATACAGACAATTACCGCCAGCCTATTCCTGAACTTCGATGGTGTCTTACAGAGATTTCCTTCACTTACCCAAGCCAATTCCCAGGTATGTTTTAAATGAATGTCTAAATGTGTGATTTAAATAGCAAGAAGAGAATTTGAAGTTATACCACATGTTAAATATTGCCGTCGAAAATGAGTAACGAACTTAAATTTTGTCCCTCATTTTTAAAATTATTTCAGTACGACCAGCTTCCCTATTGTCCAGAAAAAATCTTCTAGTGGAAGGAAAGAATTTTTCTGTTCTTGGAAAGTGTCCAAATTTCTCCATCCAGCTTCGTTTGCGAACGCGAGGAAAGTTGATGTTAGCGAATTTCAGGTTAAAAATTAATGCAGTCTGAGACGGACTCCGACATCGAAAACCGATGCTCTATTTTTTCTCACCAATGAAAGGCTTTCGGCGGGAACAATCTACGTTAGGTTTCTTATAAACCTAAAAGCTATCTATGAACAAAAATGAAAGAACTTGATTTTTCAACTCTTGCCACGAAATTAACATTTTGGTCGATTTTTCTGTTTCGCACGTCTCAAGCTCGCAACTGAGGAAACAAAATACAAGATTCGATTCATCTCTGAACAAGAATCGCCGAAAGGCAATTTTTAACTGGGCTGCAAAGGGGCTATTTTTTCTGAAGGGAGGGGGCGGCTATACACACTCAGGCTACCATAAAACCTTGTCGGCAACCACTCGACATGCGACAGAACCTCATGTGAGACTGAAACATAAACTCATTCAGAACATTGTACCCTTTTGAAAGACTTTCCTAACCAAAAAAAAGAGTACCATTTTTAAGTGGGGGCTGTATAATAACTTTTAAATTCCACCATTATCAATAAAAATAAACAAGTTAGCCATTAATTCTAAGCAGGAAACAATTTGCATTATTTCCACGTACCCCTCCCCCAATCCTTCTGTGCCCCAAAATATAGCGTGACAGTATAACGTGACTAATTTGACGTAACTGGAAATTCCAAAAATTGTTGTCGTTCTACGAGCATAAAATGCGACAGGCTGAGCTGATTTACACTAGACAGAAATATTGTATTGTATGGAAACCAGAAGTATACTACAACAGACAGTTAACTGCCCATTGATCCCGCCTGATCCAGGGGCCTCACTGACTGCACGGAGACTTTACTGCGCTTTTCACAAACATGCGAACTCTAAAGTTCAAAAGCCACCTCGACAATAGGACAATTGCACGATGACGATATTTGACTACAACTACCACAATTCATTTCGGTTTTGCTTTGTTATTTAAATTTGTCAATCCCGCTGAGGATTACAGAACAATAGCCTTAATTTGCATAAGAAAACAACAAACTCAAGGATTCTGGTAGTTGTAGTCAAATGACGTCATCGTGCAATTGTCCTATTGTGTTTATCGCTGCCGTCAATCATAATTACGATCACAAGCAACGAACCTTGAAACAGAGAAACACACAAAACGGATCGAAATCCACAAATCACAAACCATGACCTTTTGAACCCGTGAAGTAAAGTTTTGTTTCCTAAGAGGTCCGTTAAGATGATTGACAGCAGCGAAAAACGCAATCGTCGGTTGGGTTCTGAACTTCAGAATTCGCATGTTTGTGAAAAGTGCGATCCTAATTTGCGGTCCACAGTCTACAAGAAAACGCACTATTTTTTCCACAAGATGAAAAGTATTCAGTTTTAAGATTTTCCTCATGGTATTTTTCTCTAACTTAAAGGAATAAAATCCTTTGCATTTTGAGACCTAAAAAAGTTTAAAGATTTCTCGCTCGCATGTTGCGTTCACCAACACGCACTTCAAACAATGTAAATAGATGAAACGATCGATAACATATTTTTTACCTGATACCGATGCGAGTTAAAAATTCGCTCCAGTTCTGTTTGTCTCACCCAAGACGAACTTTTCTTCATGGAAGATAACTATGCCGCTTTATAACTCGTCCGAAGTTTTTGTGCCAGCTAAACAATATGGAAACACTATTCACAGTGACTCCTTGGATATTAAAAAGACTGAACGTGACGCACTATTATGCCTTTGTTTACTTCTGATCACATCTTCAAGCGAAGTCTCTCTTTTCAAGCGATTCATCTCAATGCACAATAATTGACCCTTATATTAGTTAAAACCCTATGGTTCATTTATATTAATGCTGTTTTTGCCCCTCACATTGACTGTGTTCGTTCGTGTTCAAAACACCTTTACGAAAATAAAGGTCGTATAAGTCATGTGTGTTATGTTTCGAGCTAAATGGATTATACGCTTTTTTAAGTTTCCATTTTGCGCTGACTTCAGTTTACATCTCCATAAAATGGTAAAAGAAATATCAAGAAACATCACAAGAGCTGAAAACTTTCAAAGGCATGTTTCTGAAACTCGCTAATGCTGACATCAATATAGCGTGCTTGCTGAATGGGCGAAAACACAGAATTGTGATCACAAGATCATGTACAAATTTAATGATAAAAGCTTAGCAAGATACAAATACAAAAAAAAGCAAACCCCCTGAAACCTCGAAGTGGGCTACACTTGTATGCTCTACTCAGTCACCAAACCTTGTCAGTAATAGCTCCTATTTTCCTAAAGTCGCTCTCTGTGAAGCTCCCGGATGGGATGTCCCGGTGAAGCTTTAAACTTGTGTGCGAAATTCTCAGAGTCCCTATTTTTGTCCGTGTCTTCTTTATCCTGAGTATCCGAAATTTAGACCTCCAAAGTGGCGTGTGTTGCATTAAATAGAAGGAAATATTTAAAGGAAAAGCCAGTCTTCTAACACGGCAAAGTTGTCACGTCCCTCGCTCATGTACGTGCGTAGTGCCATTCATCGGCAACTGAGTTGTTCGCTTCACTGACTACGAAGGCTTACAATCAAGTCTTCAGCCACAGTGTCGTCAACTGGTGAAATACCTTGCTCATAAATTGTGCTTCTTAATTGCTCATGTACTACATCGATCGATAATTCTCTCTTTGAGTTCACGAAGCGGCCACGGCGTTCCAAACCTGACGCTCACAGTCATCTTTTAGTGTGAACCTACCGTGAACGGCGTGTCGGTTTAAATGCAACGCGAGCATTTCTCTGAGTTTCCCAGCGCCAACATCATCTAACTGACTTAAACTCGAACAATAAAAAAATTATAGTGACTCCCATGATCGAATCGCTTCGAACAATGCAAATAGCCTTCTTCAGGTTCGCAACGCTTTGTGGGTTTTTCAGGGGGAGCGCAGACGAGGTACAAAAAGTATCCGTGCAAGGGTTCGTGCAAGAGAAAATCATATGAAACCATTTGTGAGAACATCGTTTCTCGGTACCAGACCCTCGTGTCTTCCCTCCCCCGGGAGGCCGTTTTTCGCCGCAGACGACCGAAAGCCCATTTTATGACTGGGCCGCACAGGCAGCCCAGTAATAATATTATCAATTATGGCACGATGACGTAACCCACAGTCTCATAAAGAAACACTTCTCACACGGTTTGGAATACAAATATAGGTAACAAGAAACTGTTAAGTTAATCGTACAAACATCTTTTGCTGAAAAAATTAATTAAAGTAGAAGGGAGCGTGACCTTCGAAAACATCTTTTCTTCAATAGACGAAGAACCTTTTCTGCTGTGCGGACAAGGCTGGTCGACAATGAGCCTTCGTGGTTTTTTGATTGTCATCGTATGTTAAGCCCGCAACATTAAAACAGAGGCTGCGTTTGCAAACTGATTGGCGCCAAAAAAGGGCGCTCTTTTCAGTTTAATTTATTTCTTTGAAAACGATCTGCGTATATTAAATTCCGCATAATTATGCCATTCCGCAAGCCATGCCACATGCCATTCCGCAAACTCATTCAGCCTTTTACCCTCACCGTTTGGCGTTGTGGCGAAAACGTGAGTATTTAACTTTCATTTCAATCAGGTTTGTTGCGTTTAGCAGCCAACATTTTGCAGATTATTGTTCTTAAATTGTCCTTGTTTTCTTTGAGGCACATTTCAAGCTCGATTTCCAAGCTCTGTTATCTAAACTTACATCTTTGAAT